AATAGAATCAGGGGCATAGAAAGGGAGTGGACTGACAATTCGTGGGGGGAAGGGGGTGTGGAGGGTGCAGGAAGAGATTGGACAAAAACCATACACCTATGAATGAGGACAGTGGGAGGGGTAAGGGCAGAGGGTGGGGTGGGAACTGGGTGGAGGAGAGCTATGGGGGGAAAAAAGAGGAACAACTGTAATAATCTGAACAATAAAGATTTAATTTTTAAAAAAAAGAAAAAAGAAAACGAAATCCAAGCAAGCATACCAGATATTCAGCCACCAGAAACGCCTGGAGATTTTGTCCAGCAAGGAGCCGCACAACAAAGGACAGAATGCCAAACTTCGTGTTGCTGAGACGGCCCCCGTGAGGCCAAGGTGGCCCCCATAGGGCCGAGGCGGCCCCCGAGAGGCTGGAACAGCCCCGGTGAGGCTGAGGCAGCCCCGGTGAGGCTGGGACGGCCCCAGCGAGGGTGGGACGGCCCCAGTGGGGTTGAGACGGCCCGGGTGGAGTTGAGACACTCCGGTGAGATTGAAACGGGCCCGGTGAGGCTGAAACAGCCCCAATGAGGCAGAAATGGCCCCGGTGAGGTTGAAACGGCCCTGAGGTTGAACCAGTGAGGTTGAATTGGCCCCTGTGAGGTTGAATCGGCCCCGGTGAGGTCGAGATGGCACCAGTGAGGTCGAATCGGCCCCGGTGAGGTTGAAACGGGCCCGGTGAGGCTGAAATGGCCCCGGTGAGGGTGAGACGGCCCCGGTGAGGTCGAGATGGCCCCGGTGAAGTCAAGACGGCCCCGGTGAGGCTGAGACAACGCTGGTGAGGTTGAATCGGCCCTGGTGAGGTTGAATCGGCCCCGGCGAGGTTGCAACTGGCCGGCAAGGTGGAAACGGCCCCAGTGAGGTTGAAACGGCTCCTGTGAGGTTGAAACGGCCCCTGTGAGGTTGAGACAGCCCCTGTGAGGTCGAGACGGCCCCTGTGAGGCTGAGACGGACCCGGTGAGGCTGAGACGGCCCCAGTGAGGCTGAGACAGCCCCGGTGAGCCTGCAACGCCCCCGGTGGGGTTGAAATGGCCCCGGTGAGGTTGAGGCCACCCCTGTGAGGCTGAAATGGCCCCCGTGAGGCTGGGACGACCCCTGTGAGGTGGGTACGGCCCCTGTGAGGCTGAGATGGCCCCTGTGAGACTGAGACGGCCCC